TATCTGGACAGTAACCACAAAGCCCGTGTGTGTACATTGCGCACACACTGAATCCATCCGGAAATGTCAGACTTACTGGCACAGCTCAGGATCAAGTTACTACTACTGTGTTATAGCGGAAGTGTGTGTCTTTGAGTTTCCATTTGCGCATGAGTGTAGGTATACATACCTACCCATCATGCTATTCCATATGCAAATGGATGCAAAACGGGTGTGTGTGCTCTGTGCTCTGCTGAATGCATCTAAACAAGTGTGTGTGTGTGTGTGTGTGTGTGTGTGTAACAGCATCTCTTGGCCAACCTGCTGTAATAGTGTAGACAGATTTATTACAATCTGCACAATGACATCAGCCAGCTATTTCGGGGATTTGTGGGAATCATGGTCCCTTTTGAAGGATCCCCATTATGTCATTGGCTTCCTTTTGTCTCCAAGCACTTGATACTGATAAACGGACGGAGGCCGCAGAGGCTGTCCAGCCCATACAGGCGGTCATGTTTAATCAATCATATTATCGGGCATGATGCAATCCCAAGGTTTGAAGAGGCATTTGTTCACAATCTGGAGGGCCGGCAGTTTCGGGGAACGTGGCCGGTGTGCGTTTTCTGATGGCGTCACGTGCGTATTTCTGCTAATTTCTGTCAGAAAGTGTCGGGATGGAAGGGGTACAGGGGTGGTTAATTGATTTCACCTCTGGTTTTCACGTGACTCACAAGTTGAAAAATACTTTGAAAGTGCAGGTTGATAATATGGATATTTACGTTATTCGGAGAAGATCGATCCCACTGTCGTACCTTCATGGTAGATGAGAGATGGTAGAAGTTACAGCCGGCGACCAGATAGTTTAGATTAGAACATAAACTGGAAATAGGGGCAAACAGCTGGACTAGCTCTGGCCAAAGGTAACAAAATCCAGGAGGGAAAAATGTATGTTGTGGGGAAACAATTTATTTTTTGAGTTGAGTAATTTACTGGATTACCCAGTGGTTGCCTGGCAAAGGTTTCAGAACAATAAACAGGCTAGTAAATGTATGGCTTTTGCGGTTATTTTCCCGTTAAAATGACAGAAACAAGCCGTCAACTATTTACTGCAAACTGTTTCACCCTGTTTCCAGTCTGAGCTAAGCTAAGCTAAACCAAGCTACACTTCTGCCAAATCCAGCTTCCTATTTAATGACGTGGGAGAAGCACATAAATGCTATCGCCTACTTCTCGGCAAAACAGATCTTAAGCATATTTTCCCTGATGTCAAACAACCCCTTGACGTAAGTAAGACCTATGACTACACCGTAACATCTATTTGTATCCCAACAACTGGAAGACTGTTTCATACTTGATGTGAAAATCATCTATCATTTTGGATGGTTTGGAAGGAGATGTGTTGATTCACATTATAATCTGAACCTTCTGGTAACGTTCCTCACAACCACATCAAGCACGAGCCAGCTCGTGGTGGAAAATAACAACACACTGGAAGTCCGACCCTAATGACGTTCACTTCTTTTTTTAACTCCTTCCTCTACATGTGCCGTCAAACTGAACCCAATCACTCGGCCCATAGTGTGCGATTCCTGTAGCAATTTCCACTGAATTTGTCCCAACTGTGTTAGCTATATGTCATCTGGAAAGACGGTCTCAATGACGGCCCCAGCCGACATTCCCAGCTTACCGTCACATGGCTGAAATCTTGGCAACTGACCCATGTGCCGTTCCAGCTGCAAGCTACCACAACAACACTGAACATTATGTCGCTTATGCCAGGAAAATAAATGTGGAAGTAAGGCAACGTGCTGTAAGTTTATCACAGCTCTTTTTTACGGCAAAAGCTCTCCTCCTCCTCCTCCTCCACTTGTTGACCTTGACAGGGGTAGATCCTGCTCCGGCCCCGTTAATGGCCCTCAGCGGGGTGATGTATAAATATTGGAGTGACGCCCGGGGTTGAAAAGTCCGCTGGTCATTTGCTGGCAGTGTCATTGACTAACAATGGCAGAAAGTACGTCATCAAAACAGGAATCAGATAATATATTAAAATGGCATTCACGGCCCTGCAAATGGGCTCCTCTCAAGTAGGTTCACAGCTGTTGTGAGAAAGACTCACTCATTCACAGTCAAGTATCATTAGCTCATGAAGGAGGGGAAATCTGCTCCACATTGACCAGGTATAAAATTGATATTCAGGAAACATCATGCTCGAATGTATTAAAGGTGTATAAAGTGTGTGTGGAAGAGGGGCGTTCCATAAATAGCTTCCAGAGAAGTGCGCCATGTGCAAAGCATGCGCAGCACATTGCGTCAGACTTCACGCTCAACCTCACGCGCCCTCAAAGAGAACTCCTCTACTCGTACAAACCTGTTCATAGACCTGAGGAAACGCCCGTATCAGGGGTAAGGTGGGCGGAGACAGATGGGATCTGCCCCCGATGACAGAGATACAGCAGACTGCACAGTTTGTACTGTGCACGGTGTACCAGAATGGGAGGAGGCTCACCTTTTCCTGCCCTTTCTGATTTCCTTTTCTCTCTAATACCAATCATCTGTTTTACTTTCTTTGTTTGTTTCTCTTTGTCGGTTCCCTGTGATGGTTTACACACCGTGTCCTTCCCTTTAAATTTACAGTAAGCTCCGAGGAAGAGTCACCGTGAAGGACAACACCTTCTTAAGAGAATGAATGTCACCACGCTTAACAGGACGAGATTACACCTCGGCGCGGTTGCAGTCAACGCAAAGAATGTGCTTTGTGAAGAAAATATCCTACAATTTTGACATTTTTGAAGGAACCGAGACAGAGAGAGAGACAGAGACAGACAGAGAGAGGAAGAGGGCAAAACCAAAGAAAACACGGCCAATAGTAGAGTGGTTTTGATTTTCTATTTAGATTCTATAAACGTTCTAGAAATAAAAGAAACAGAAAGATAAATACAATACAATACAGTACAAAGCCGAGACTCACGCTGAGCCAGACGGTGACCTAGAGAGAGAGAGAGAGAGAGAGAGGTTTACCAGGAAACTATTACTGAATGATTAGTACACACAGTTGTAGTCTTGCTCAACCAACAAGGAAGTTTTAAAGTACTACAGAGAAGCAATAGTGGCGAGTTGTGACATTAAGGGAGACATGCAGGTGCCGCACAAGCAGGAAGTGAAGCTGAGTTAACAGGAATTAGATTTAGCGATATGCCGGGAACCTACCTGCATATCTGTAACAGTTCCACTGTAATGTACATCATTTGACTCATGACATAGTGAGTCTTAACAACAGCGTTTCCTCTTACAGCCCTTTTACTCAATTTGAGTGAAACGGCTTGTATTGTTATTGAAAACCCCGCAAAATGGCAGATTCTATTCAATAATTAACACACTGTTGATGTTTTTGACTCATCCTGAACTCACTCTCTAAAGCTGTACAAACAATGAGGGACTCCCGCCTTTGTAAACAAACAATTTCACGGAAATTGGCCCTAACACGCAGATCTTTCAAAAGATCTCCCTGTGTGGTGGGAAACCTGCGAGACCGAGCTTCTCCGAAATGTTTAGTTGTATAGAAATGTTTGGCTTTCAGCCCCTCCATCCATTTGAGAGCCCCCCCCCCTCCCTCAATCACAGTGGGTTTACGGGAACCTGAGCCGGGATCCATTCCTCAGTCGGTGCGGGAAAATCAAAACATTGGTTTAGAGCTGCGACTGGAGGCCTCGTCTCATTCTCCACATAAAAGTCCATTTCATTGACTGAGTGTGAATTGAAAATCTCTGGCTCCTTGTGTGTCAAGCCGAGGGTGTTAATGCACGTTTAGAAGAAAACGCGGCCAAAAGGCTGTTTGGGGGCTTTTTTTCTACTTAGATTCTACAAACTTTGGAGAAAATAAAAGAAACAGAAAGCAAATGCACTACAGTACAGAGCCAACTCTGACATCGGCAAGACTCGGCATGCTGAGCTCAGATGGTTGGCCGGGGTCCCGTCGCGTGCTGCAGCCACGCAGCAGAGCGCTTTCACAGCTTTCGGGGTCACCCTGTTCCAACCATTTTCCGGGTTTACCTCCGGTGAACCGCACACTGCCTTTGGTTTGTCGGTTGACTCACCGCCGGCCTTTTACCGGAACGCGCTGGAGGTCAGCGGGCTTAGGTCCATCGCCCCCCTCCCCTTCCAGTTCAGAGGTTTGTGGTCGAGAGAAGAGAAGCTTTAGATATATTGTCTGGTTTTCGCTCTTCTTTGTGACGGGTGCGTTGGTTAAAGTGTTTCAAAGGGTGACATGACACCAGTTAGTGTGCCGTAACACCTTCACGTCAGGCCGATGGCGCTCATCGCTGAGTCAGCAGAGGGGGGGATGTGAGCAGTCCATCAGTCACGGGCATGTTGCTAAAGCTTAGACTTTCTGCAAAAAGAAAGGACTGCCCTCTCAAATGAGGGTCTGAGGTCAGCTTCCTTTCGACATTCTAATACTGATTAGAATTTATTGTGAAGTGATGACTTCCGGGGACCCAAAATCTGAATGGACGCAAGTTTGTTCAATCATTTACATTTTTTTTTAAAACCTCTTGGATTGTCATAAGACACAGTGATTTAGCGGCCATAATCACTATGAAGATTAAATCAATTGTTCAAAACACACCATAATTTAGTTCTAAAAGCCTATGAGAACATTTGAGTCGTTTGTTAGATGTAATCAACAACAGTACTCTTCAAACCAACTGTGTTTCAGAACATTTTCATTACTTGCGTATACACTGAACTAAGAACAACATTAAAGCACATATTTGATCATTTAATGTGTTAAACTTGACTTAGCTACGGATCTTAGAATGGGACTAAAATATGCTTCTAATAGCTGCAAGAAAAAAACAAACAGTGAGTAAATCCCCGCTGCCCCTGGTTACCACTGGTGCCGTTTGGGAGATGTGGCGCCCCCTGTGGAGAGGGGGGGGGGGCGGGGCATGCAGCCTGTCGTTGCTGTGAATTTCTGGGAAACCGAGAACACTAAATTAAGACTGAATCATTACCTCATACATCAGCTCGAGGCGGAAGACTCACCGAGAGCGCGAGCGCGTCGCTGTAAGATACTTTGTTTCTATTCGGTCCCTCGAATGTAAAATGACACAAGAGAACTGCTACTATTCAAACGCGTGTGCGTAACCCTAAAGGAACAATGACTCCTAGTAACGGTAAATAAGTATTGCTTGGAACTCCTCCTTAACTTTGTGTTGGAAAAGCAGCGGGGGGGAGGGCGCTGCTCGGAGAAACACAAAGGGAGGGAGGAGTTTCCTTCGCGTTTATAATAACGCCGCTGCTCCTCGCTTCACACTCTCACACTTCTTGGCAGCAGTCGGGCTGCTTACAAACAAGAGAAAAAAAGTCAGGAGTTTATCGCCAGAGAATTTACGCCGAGATATACTCGCGTTTCATTCAAAGGAGCGAATTCGGACGAACGTTGAAGGTGAGGATTCGTTTTCTCGTTTTTTTTTCTTCTGCTTTTTTTGTTGTTGCCCGAATATAGCGTAAAAAAAAAAAAAACCTCACCAATGCAAAGATGTAAGGTTGAATGTTGATGAATACGTTTTATTCATTTGGCGTGTGTTATCTGAGTGAGGTGAAGCCGCTCGCGCCGTGAGACTTGCGTAATCTGGATTCCAGCGTCTTTACTGGAACTGACCGAGTCCCGAGGGCACATTACACACACAAAGTTTCCCCGAAATGAATGGAATTTACATAGAGGCATTTTTTTTTATCTAAAGGCACAACTCCTGAGCGAGGAATCATTTCAGTTTGGGTACATTCTTTTCTTTTATAGATGACAAAAGAAAGAAATGGCGCAGATGTTTTAAGAGCCTCCACATCTGGAAAAGTAGTTTCCGTTAGGGCGGCTGGAGTTGAGGAGCGTTAGACCTTTTTATTAAAAAAACTGCTATACTCCAAATACTCAAAAACCGTTAAAACTGCATTTTGAATGTTCATCATGGTTCGTCACACTGAGCTCAAACTAAAACTCTCCCCTCCTTTTTATCTCCTCAGGTGATTCCCTTCCAGCTTCGCGACCCTCCTGAACTTCTCCTTTTTTCCTCCTCCTGTCTGCGCGGCACTCGGTGCTCCCCGGGCTGCCCAGAAGAACGGGCACAGCGCCATGGTAACTCTCAGCAAGTTTGACTCCGCGATGAGCAGCAGCCTCTTGGACTCCAGCATGCGGTTTCCTCAGCGCTACAAGACGTTCGCCTCCAAGGCCCAGTACCAGATGGTCCTCGCCACCCTCCACAAGCTCCAGGAGAGCGGCTTCTACTGGGCCGCCATCACCGGCAAGGACGCCAACGCCATGCTGGCGGACGAGACCATCGGCACGTTCCTCGTCCGGGACAGCTCCGACAACCGGCACCTGTTCGCCCTCAGCGTCAAGACGGCGTCGGGCACCAAGAACCTGCGCATCCAATGTGACGCCTCGTCCTTCTACCTGCAGACGGACCCCAAGAACATTCACTCCGTGCCCCACTTTGACTGCGTCCTCAAGCTGGTCCATTTTTACATGCCTCAGAGTAAAGTGAACTCTCGCGGTGGGAATATGTACTTCATTTACTCCGGAGGGGAGAAGATCCCCCTGGAACTCGTCAAACCTCTGTCCGATAGCCTATCCACCTTGCAGCACTTGTGCCGGAAAACAGTCAATGGACATTTGGACATTTCTGCTAAAAGAGACCAACTTCCTCATCCTCTTCGGGAGTTCCTTCAAGACTATGACGCTCCCATCTAGACCGTGTAGGACTGATGCTCTCGAAGGGGCAAAGATTAAACGGCTAACGGCTAGGTGCGGCTAACGTTCAAAGACACACACGGTGTCCATGGAAGCAGGTCCATGTTCCAGAAAGAGACACTGGATTGGGGGACTAACCGACGAGCGGGGGGAGGGGGCGCCAAGAGAAAGAGGGCACAGCTGTAATCTGGCGGTGTGAAACGAGAGACGTCCTCCTCTGCCTCACTGATGACATTCAGCTTACCGAAAGCTGAAGTGAGACTCCCAGTCAGCTGTCTACGGTCTGATGACACACAACTTCCTCCCCCCCCCTCCTCCTCCCTGCTGCTGCGAACCAAGTGCGCTGTGAGGCTCGTCGGGATCACATGCAACGGCCTCATGGAATCCGCCGTCCATTTAAGCCGGTCTGGTTTTTAAAAAAAATGCTGATAATCTTAAACGTTTTGCAGACGTCATTCCAGCATCCTGGAATCTCCGACCACTCAGGAGATTCACAGACAACGGAAACTTAAGAGAGCCGACCGGTGGACACGGATGGGCTGCAGGGTGCATAGAAAAAACATTGAAAAACATATCAGACTTTTACAAGACATTTTAAGAGGAGAAAATATTGAAAGAAGACGCCAAACTAGACAAGAACTAGAACTAGCAGCTTGTTGAAACAACGACATGACTGAATCCCATGGGATCTTACTTGAGACAACAGTACCACTTCTTAATATGCCTTCAGTAGCGAAGAGATGGATATCGACATGCCAAAAGATGTGTTTGGTATTAGTAGCACAAACAGAATTGCCATCATTTGCAAATGAATGTATCAAACATGGTATGTGACTTTTTCTAATAGGGGGTAGAGTTTAAATGGATGAAGACTGTTTTCGGTGTCTTTTATAAAGATTTACCTTTGTTTGCCAAACCACTGGCTGTAAATGCGTGAAGAGATGTGTGTGACAAAGCAAACAGACTGATACGACTTTGCACTTATTTATATTTGTATGAACATTTCATTAATTTATAATAAAAAGGACATATTTTTCTATGAAATGAAATCTGTCTTTGATTTATTTCATGATGACTCAGTTTATTTCCACAGGCGCGACAAACTGACTAATGTGTGTGTGTGTATCACACTACATACTATTTGCACTGATGTTTCAGATGAGTTCGGATATCATCGTATTCGGTTTAGTTAACGGAGGTCAGACCACCAGTGTCCTCATGAAGTATCGTCTTCTTCCTCGACCGGACAACAAACTCCTTTTTATTTGATTTCCTTTTTAGAGGTGCAGTCAATTCTAACAATTCTCAGTCTCCTCATGTCATCTGTTAAAGCAAAAACAATACATCTTTTTATTTTCTCAGCCTACAGCTTGTTGAGCAGTTGACAAAACACAATACACCAGAGCTGTAACCAAGCAATACACAGAAGAATGAGCGTCTCCTTTGATCAGCTGTGACTCACAGGATCCTCTGTGGATGATAGCGTGAGTTTACATGTTCTTGCGTGTACACAAAAGATCATTCTTTCCTGTAACGTGCATGACTCTCACAAGTTTAGCACTTCGGAGAAGTGTCCCCCGCCCTGTACTAACAAATACGTACATAGAAGTGCGTGAATGTGTGCATGCCTCGGCACAAAGGCATTCAAAGAGAAGTTGTATTTACTGTCGCAAGATTGCGTGTGAGGAAACGGGATCCATGGTACGGCCGCGAGGGCCACCACCCGTTTAGGGTCTCTTTGAAATATCCCTTTATCCTCCGATAGTCCCATATAGACAGTGCAGGCAGAGTGGTTGCACTGCCAGATCTTTAAATTATTTGGTAAATCATTAGTGATTATTTACATTCCAATTGTTTGTCAAATGCATCTTGTTACTCACTGTGGCTGTTGATAATTATCAGCGTGCACGTGTCTGGGCTCCTATTAATGTAAATTAGGGGCGGTTGGAATTACCTCAGGCTACCTTACTGCTGGTAATCATGCTGCCAATTCTCTGGAACAACGTGTTCAAAGTTTCCTGTACACGGTCTGTTCACCTGCCAACAACGTGCACATTCGAGGAAGATGTCATGTCTGTTCAAACAGCTGAGATTGGGCTCGGATTGATCACATCGGACACATGTGCTCGCCGGCCCTCTTCCGAAAGGAAGTTTTTGTTTTTCATCATTTTGTGTGTATTTGCTTTAGTTTCCTATTGTCAGTGAAATCTGAAGCTAGACCCCCTTGATTTAACGGATTATGTGAGATTTGCTGAACATAATTTTTTAACTGATGACATGTTTCGGCACGCTGTTACAGAATTACATCTGCATGTGTGACTGCTCTTTATAGTGCATTATACAACATACAATATTCTCACATCCCAGAAGTCTGTTATGAACAGACTGTTTATAGGATATCTAGAGATTCTGGTCAACCTCTTTGTCATCATCATGTAGCATCAAAGATATTCCGGTCTTATACATTTTTAAATACTGTATGTCCATATATGTCTATCTATGTATTGTACCTGCATTCAATGTCTAAACCCAGTTAGCGGCAAAGGAGGGATTACCACGTCAACGCTATTCTACAAAATTGGGTTTAATAATTGGGTCAGAATAATAATTCGATAAGACAGTGAGGATCAGCGGGGCCTGGGACACATGAATCAGTTTAAAAAAAACAATTAAATTAAAAAACGAATCTAATGAATCTTACTTCAAAGATGCATTAATGAACTGCCATCCCTGATGTGTCTTCTTCAATACACTATTAAAGCTCAGAGCCCTCCTGTCCTTCATAACCAGCAGCTACACGGCCAGGAACACGTCCACGTTTACGGCAAACGGCTAAAACGAGGGCGGACGGGAATCTGCAATAACCTCCGTATCCGACGTTATTACGGGAATCAGCCTCCTGCTCTACGTGCTTCGCAGCACTTTATTGTTTCCCCTCAGCAAAGGGGCTTAGTGAGGCGGTTTCAAGGTGATTAGGGTCTCTGAGGTGATTTGTGTGCTGTGAGTTTTTCAATTGTGTCTCAATCTCCACCTACATGGTTCAAGTTACTTACTTGAAAAAACGTGACTCGTGAAACGTGATAATGGCAATTTTAGAAAAACATTTGCTTTACTGGTAAAAATAAACAAAATCAAATGCTTTAGTTCACAGGATTTTGGAAACATAGTGAATCACAATTTCTGGTTGAATGAGGGGAGAGTGCAGGATTAGGACAGATAATAATACCAAATAAGTGCAGGCTGCTGTAAAATGGCACATCCTTAAAAATCATCCTTAAGAATGAAAAACAAATCGCATAATGCAGTATGAACACTGGGCCAGTTGGAACCTGTCTGAGGTTCAGTCTGGCCTATTTAAAGGGTGACAGCTTGAACTGCAGCTCTGCAGAAATTCGCTGGTACTCCTTTGTCACGTGATTCTAGAGAACCAGCACTGCAGAGTCAGAGCGCCGCTCACTCAAGCAGTGTGTATATATATGATCGTCGCTACACAGTTGTTTCTGTTAAAGTGCCGAGAATATACAGGCATTTAATTATACTGCTTTTCAGCCAGCATCTCTTCAATTTGCCTCATTCAATTCATTAAGATTACTTTTTTTTGTTTTTATTTTTAAGTATAATGGTTGCAGAGACCTTGAAATATTATAGATTAGATCGTTTTTCATTCAAGATAATTGTTCCCCGAGCACACTATTACTGAATTTAGACAGGCTTAATATGTCATGGTGGATTAACGTTAATCAATTCATGAGAAATTACATTGACTGGGAAAATCCATTCACGTCAGCCTCTTGGTCGTCTTACAAACAGGAAGTGGGATGTTGTGCACTCTAGCTTCTCCAAATAGACGACACAAAATGATTGTGTACAGGTCCACGGTTGGCAAACACAGAGAGATGAGTAACACACAAACATTAAACCCACACAAATGTAATCAGCTCTACTTGTAAGAAGTAAGTGTGTAACTTGTAATGACACAAAATGAATACTCTGGATTACGTTTGATATTCCCTTGAATTTCAACGGTACTATATAATACCGTGTGAACGCAACAGACCTCGAAGATTAGATTCAAGCACTATGAGCTCGCCCTGCTAACTTGGATATATTTGCAATGCAATCTATCCATTTCCTCCAGCGCTCATAAAACGGTTCCACTGAATGTACACCATTCATTCACCAGGAAGCCTCGGTTAAAAGTAGCTCAAACAATGACAGGAGTGACGGTAAATGGTCATATAATTTAGGGCCATTTACATTCGAAACAATTCCACAACCGTTGTAATTCCACGTACATGAGATTTACATGGAGGCAGGTCTTTTTTGCAATGCTGATCCAGCGTCCCACAACGCTTTGACTACTTGTCAAAGACTGAAGGGGAAATAAGGGGAAACTTCTGCTTCTGATAAGACCGTTTTCATACCATGTCTTTTATTCCGCCTCGCTTCTAGTTTACCATGTAAAGCTAGATCATCTGATCATCAGCAACTGAAATTATCTTGGAAGTAAAAGGCTAGTAAAAGGCTATGAGTTCCAGTTTTCAGCACTGTTGTTCTATATGACGTTTTTGGAAGCAATTACGAACATTCCAGTTCAACGGGAAACTGCTGCCACCATGTATAGTGATTCTTCCAACGTTTGTATATTATGAAAAAACTGAGGAAGAAGAAGAAACGCGCCTTAATGAATCCTGAATGATGCCTACACTTACTGTGCAAAGGGAAAGAACCTTTATCGGTGACTGTGTCTGTGTATTTGCCTCATTTGCTCCCTCTGACCTAAACATGTGCGTAGGCTGGCAGCCCAACAGTACTAAGCCTGGTTCCTGCGTGTCATTCCAACCCCTCAGTCTATTTACAATTCCAAAACTTATGGTTGCCATGCACTGACAATGAGCTCCACATGCTGGAAGCCAGTGAGCAATGAGTCACCGTGGCCTGCAAGTCCCACCCACTGAGGTTCTAACTCTGAGCACGTTCCTCCTGTTCCTCCTCCAGGCCTCCAGATGCACTGTTATCACTCAGCCTCTCTGCTGCAGGCCTCTGCCCGGCTGTAAAACTACACTATTTGCAATCCCACCTGCACAGTATTTCCTCGCGCGTGGATCCCGAAGCCTCTTCAGCCGCTCTTTGCACGGAATCTTGTGTGACTGCGCTGCTCTGCGTCAGATGGCAGGTTTTCAAACAGAGAAGAGAATCAACAGACGTGGATGGAGTACAAATGACGCATTGCTAAAACATTTTAAACCCCTGAACATGTTTTCTGTCAGTGAGGGAAGCACAAAGTGCACCAAAATATTAGGATTAGAAGTGTAATACTACTAGATGCCATTCACGTGTGTTACTTTCCTTTGACATCTGAAGCCGCAGCCCCGTAGTGAAACAACACCAACGCCATAAATAACAGCTTACCCAACAGGAATCATGAGCAGCCCCTCAAGCATGGCCTACATGCTTTTTTATAGTCTCCTTTGGAAATGAGAAGCTGAGGAGTTTGAACTATTGTGAGTGAACCTATTTCCTTCACCACCGCGGGGTAAAAGCAATGAGATCTATTAATAAACATTTTGAATGCAATAGATGGACAATACTGCATCTAAATGTATTTTCCTAGTCTTTACTGTAACTGTAAATGTGATGAAAATAAACAAATAAGAAACATTTTAAAAAAGCACAATGCATGCCGGGTAGATTGGCGTTCGACTTGAACCCGAACCCCCCAGTTGGGTGCCGGGCTCTGAAGAAAATGTATTTGTTTTAAAAGCTTATAATGGTCTGCTTTAATTAATTAATATATTTACAACCGAGGTTGTACTTAATGGCTATGCTATACTAGACTACGTTCTACTTTCATGTATTTCTAATATTCCTTTCCCCCCTCATGGTGCAAATGGAAGCACCTCTTAATATAACGCAGTCCAACACCACTTTAAACAACTTCCATTAAAAGATATAGTTAGATTTAAACCTCCCAGAAAGTGTCAATAAAAATGATTTATGGCAGCGCTGTTGTATTAGTTTTCAGCACCCGTTCCCAGCGCACC